AGTATACTGTAAGAAGACAAAGAAAGGCAGAAGCATGAAAACTGGTAAGGAGGCTAGTAAAATAATTTCAGTGTGAAATATTATAACATCATTTGAAGTATAAGTCATCCTGAAGTTTTTTTGTATTTGTATTGTGATTTATTTTTATTTTTACATGGTTTTATGGAGAGTATTAACTCAAAATCATTGTCATTGAGGTAGTATTTATGTTTAAGTAAAGTTTATAATTAAATGCTGGGCTATTTAGTGTGTCACCAATGTGTTACTTATACCTGTAATATTTAATATTTATTGTGTTTTAGTTGATCCTGAAAATGTGTTTATTGGTCGCCACTTCATTATTGGGCTTTCCACAGTTACCTTTACTCTGCCTTTATCCTTGTACCGAAATATAGCGAAGCTTGGAAAGGTAATTTTTACATTTTAAATTGTCATAGGAAAGTACCTTGTTGCCTGCAGTAATCTACTGTCTACTTGACAAAGTTCTTAATTACAGTATTCATCTTTAGTTTCTTCTAGTTTATTTAATGGTTATGCTAGAGTAAACTGTTTGAATCATTAGTTTGTGAGAACTGATGGTTAAATAGTTGATGAGTATGAACTAAATATATTCTTCCTTTTTCTTTTTTAAGGTAGATACCCTGATGTCAGACAACACATTTTAAATTTAGAAAATATAAATAACTATATTTAAAGCAAATCTAATTTATTGGAAAAGTGTTCCATCTTTTGTGTAGGTAGTTTAAACAATTTAAAATTAAGAAGCAACAATGAATCACTTCAATGGCTTAAAATATATTTATTTGTAAATTACAATGTCTATTGTGCTTATTTTTCATCCAATGAATTTGATTTTCAATGTGTTGACTGGTCAATTTTTGAGAATTTTGCCAATATTTATGATTCGTATTACTAAAGAGGAATACTGAACTCTTCTAATGAAAACAATTAAATAATTACTCAGTTCACTACAGATACTCATTTGCACTTACTCTCAAGGAATATTTGTATTTTACCCAAAATATTATTGGTACTATGTCTACATAATGCCAAACATTCTGACAAGATATTTTTTTAAAGAGTTATTTATATAATATTTTTATATTCTATTTTGAAAAATCCAACATTTGACTGAATTTTACTTTTCACTGTGATGTTTGATGTTGTGTATCCAGTTATGAAGTTCATCCTTCCAGGTAGAGCTGAGGGTAGACATAATATTTCAGAGTATTCTGACCATCCCTAATAGCCATCCAGAAACAAACAAGTCTGTATCAAAACATGCCTTTTTGTGAATTATATAAAATGTTTGAACTATTTTCCGTTTCACATATTCAGTGTACACATAAATGTTAACTTCTGAGCAGAGAGCGAGGCGTTCATAAAAGGAAGGCTATTCACATTCTGTCATATTATTAATACCTGGGCACTTTTTCCTAAATCCTCCTTAAAAGTGTCATATTGAGATAGCTAAATAAATCACTCAATGAGCAAAGCAGAGTGGTTAGGAGCCCTAATCTGCAGTCAGGCTGCTTGTATCTGAGTTCCCTCTCTGCCACATTCCAGCTGTGTCACCTTGGGGATGTTGTTTAATCTCTCTCTCCCTCAGAAGATAAGCCAATTCCTAATAGAAACTTCTTTCTAGTTAAAAATTAACAACTTAGAAAACAAGGTTAATGAGACTCACATAAAATACAAGCAGTTTTATATTTATTTTTTCTTATCAGAGAAAGGATCCATAATGTGCTTATTCATTTAAAAATATTAAGACTAGACACACACAAACCTAGCATAATGAGTGCACAGGGCACAAACACACACAGACCAGTTTATATTTTAACCAGTTGACATAATGACAGAACAGAGAAGAAGAAGCAAAACAGGCCTAGAAACACAGACCAAAGGGCAAAACCATGTAGGAAAAGTAGAGCTGGAGAGCAGAGAGGAAAAAACTGAGGTACTCCTCCTCAAAAAAATAAATAAATAAAAATAAAAATAAATTTAAAAAGGAGAGGGAGGAATGTGTGTGATGTTGGAAGAAAGAGAGTAAGACAAGTAGAAGCAGCAATTATAGATAGTGAAAAAGCACA